CCTTCCCTCACCCCCCTGCCCGCCCTCACCCACCAGGACTATCGGCTGGGGATCGGCATCACCTACATCGAGATGAACGTGGGGAACGTCAAGGAGGTGGACCGCCGGGGCTTCGATCTCACGACGCCATACAGGATCTTCAGGTGAGCCGAGGGAGGGGAGGGGGTGCCGGCGGCGCTGCCCCTCCCCCCGGCCATGCCGTCCCTCATCCCTGTCCCTGCCGGCAGCTTCTTCGCCGACTCGGACCAGGAGAAGGAGGAGTGGGTGGAAGCCATGCAGCAGTCCATTGCCGAGGCTCTCTCCAACTCGGAGGTGGCGGAGAGGATCTGGGCGGTGGAGCCCAACCGCTTCTGCGCCGACTGCGGCTCACCCAAGCCCGACTGGGCCTCCATCAACCTCTGCGTCGTCATCTGCAAGAGATGCGCAGGTACCCGCATCCCGGCAGGGGGGCGAGAAGGGGCCATGCGTCCCCTACCCTGGGTAGGGATGCAGGGTGCGAGGCACAGGGGATGCTTGTGGCTCGGCCTCGCCCACCCCAAAACAGGTCCCTAACGGCTCGTCTCGCCGGCAGGGGAGCACCGGGGCTTGGGCCCCGGCATCACCAAAGTCCGGAGCCTGAAGATGGACAGGAAGGTGTGGACGGAGGAGCTGATTGAGGTATTGGCGCAGACCGACCCCGAAAGCTGGCTAGGGGCCAGGGACCACAGGAGCACAGCAGTGTTTTTCCAGCCTGATCCAAGCCCCTTGGGGTGACGCTGCAGTGTGGCTTGGTTGGGGAGGGGACCCCCAGCAGCCCTCCGTCCTGATCCAAGCGGGTGACGCTGCAGTGTGGCTTGGTTGGGGAGGGGACCCCGACCCCGAACTAGGGGCCAGGGACCACAGGAGCACAGCAGTGTTTTTCCTTTTCCACCGCAGACAGATGGCATCTGCGTGTCTGTGGGGTGATGGCTGCAGATCCGCCGGAGCGGCCGTGGGGAGATGGCTGCAGAGCCATGGGGCCGGCGTGGGGCCGGGGTGCGGGGCCAAGCGGCAGAGCAGCCCCCCCGAAGCGGTGCGGCCACCGGCGCGGAGGAATGCGTCGGTGCAGCCAGC